AGAGGTCAATAAGAGCATGGAGGCATACCTGCACTATTTTGTGTCTGACACACCTAAAATATGGGCTAAATGGATAACATGGGCAGAGTATTGGTATAACACATCTTTCCACAAAGCTGCACGAACAATCGCTTTCAAGATTTTCACCTCATTTGGTACATTACGGATAGAGTACTACACCAGTATCCAGTATAGGCCAATACTTGGAGGAGAGAGATATGAAATTAGAAGAACTCAAAGGGCATCTATTAAGATTTCAACAGCTTATGAAGAGAAAAGTAGAGGAACACAAACGGGAGTACAGATTGAGCTCGAGGATAGAGTTTATTTAAAATTGAGACCCTACCGACAGAGGACACTAGCCAAGAGGAAAAATGAGAAGCTATGTTGCACTAATATAGATACGGCGACACAGATACGACACGATACGGATACAGGACATATCAATTCATAAAAATATAAGATACATGTACGACACGGATACAACATTATAATTGATAAACTATACATAAAAATTAAGAAAGCAATCAAAGCATAATAATTGAAATGATAAGAAAAATGAAAGCAACATCATCTATAGTCTTGTAGCTTATAATATCAAAATAAAAATAAGCATTAAATGTCAAGTACAACAACGAAAACATAAACATAAATTGTCTAGCACATGAAGCTTCAACTATTCAATAGAAGGAACGATAGGATTAACTTCTTCGATGGTTTGTCTTTGAACTTCTACTAAACATAAACCCTAAATGCATGCTCGTGGTCGTAGAAACGAAGAAGCCCTAACGCCTCATTTTGCGAGTTCAGAAATGAGAGAACCTCGCTCACAACAGCGGAAGTAAATATGAAATACAGGTCATTTTTTCTCCGATATGCGTGTCCTTTTGAAATTAAATATTATTTTAATTAGATACGGCTTTGACGTATCGGACACATATCCATGTCCGACACGTATCCAATACAACACGCCTTCATAAATAGGTGTATCGGTGCAACATAGATGAGAAGTTACCACCACGATATTTTATGCCTTATGAGGTGATAGAGCACACTGTGCTAGTAGCCTTTTGTTTGAGATTATCAGCATCATCATCAATCAACCCAGTATTCCATGCATCACAACTAAGGCGTACTATCGGAGATCACACACCATCTTCCTCACTACCGGCAACTCAAACTGAGAACATGGAAGTGATTCTAGAACCCATGGAGATCGTGGGACCACGACATGGGACAACAGGTGCAAAGGAGGTCCTAGTTTGATGAAAGGATCTATTTGATTATGAAGCTACATGGGAGCCCTATGAATCAGGAGAATTCTTATCCTTTTACCTTGAGTACAAAGTGTATTTTGAGAGGGGAGTATTGATAGGGCAGCAGGAGCAGCAGCAGGAGGGGGTTGGCTGGGCCAACCTAGCCAGTCGATCCAATAGGAGGGAGCGAACTGGGCAGAACTTGGAAGAACAAAGGAAGGTTCGGCCCCCCTTGTGGGGCCCAGCAAAGCTATGATTCCATATGTACAGAGAAGGAATAAAGAAGGAATTAATCGTTATTTAATTCCAATTTGAATTCAAAATATGGAAGGGAATTAATTAAGGCAATAAGATTGTTTTAGGGAGAAATAGGAAGAAATTATTCATAGCTAGTTATTTAATATTAGGGTTATGTTTTGATTGGAGTTTTGTTGTAGTTCTCATTGTAAGGGCTTCCTAACGACGTCTAGGTTGTTTGGAAGAGCCAATCTATCTCTCTAAACGTAGATCACCTATATCTTGTTTTTGCATTGAAATTATAATTCAAAATCAGACATCATTTGAAGTATTCTTGAAGTTTCTCTTCTTTCTTTCGCTGTTTTCACTTCCAAAGCATATCATTTACACTATTGCGCACAACCACAGCTAGCATGCTCTATAATTGTCTTATTTCAATTGACATTTCTTTGCTAAGAGATGTGCAGTTACATGGGTTGCATGGCTGAATAGAAGCATTCAAACTCGAGCATCAAGACAGAAGAGAGTCATTTGGAAGCTTCTTTATTATTATGGAGTCCGCAGATGAGTGTATAATAATGGGGATGGGCACATTTGAGATAAGCTAGGACTTATTGTTTCCATGAAGGAGAAATATACTAAATTCTTTACCAACAAAAATTGATTGACCACATATTCAATATGAGAATACAGAAGTAGCATAGCATTTTGACAAAGGTGTACAACAAGACATTCATAGCCACACGCCATACAGGCACACAGTTAAAACCATGTTTCTGACAGAAAATTAATTTATTTTTTCAACTGAAAGCAGGATTTAATAACAAAAAATTAGAAAATATTCTCATTCGAAGTGTTTCCCATGGACTGCTATAAAGGGCAAAGTAGCTAGTTTAAACCTAAGGTGCATAAAACTATGTGCTTTATTCTCTATTGAGTTTAGATGGTTTTGAAAAGGAAATATTCTACAAGATTTTGACACTGGAAAAAAGTCAGTTTAAAGTTTTTAAATTCCCAAAGCTTTCTTCTAAATGATTTTCTTGTGAATTTTGATTGTTCCAAAATCCCTTCAAGTAAATCATTTTATTTGTTTTTTTTTTCTCAGTCTTGGACGAAAACTAGGTCAAGAAAACTCTTCTTTCTATTACTTGGAAATCACTATAAATCACTTTAAATCAGTTTCATGATATCAAAAAACCTCCAGAGTTTATATCAATACAGTTTGGTTTTAGTTCATAACTAGGGCACTAACAAAGCAGGGTTGAACGAGCTTAAGCTTTGTAGGGCTCAACTTGTTAAAGTAAACAAACAGAGATGCATTTCTCATGTTTTACTTATTTTATTATCAAGCTGAGGTTAAGTTGTTCACTAACATCAAAGCCTAATTGAATTTTTTATACAAAATATAGAATAAATACATGCATGCATACACCCATGCATATATGATATATGAATATTTTAAAGGATAACTAATACTGACAGATCTAGTATCGAGCGAAAAAAACAATCAAACAGGACCATTTATATGTTCAAGTCATCAAGTAAATAAGCACATGAAATGAGTCAAACAAGAATTGTACACAAATATCATGATGGATGACAAACCTACTAGTAGTTACATCATTTTAACTTCAATACTACAAATTTGAAATTGAATAGTGAAAGGAACAATGGATATTACATGTTTGTGATCTATGGAATGTGAATGTAATAGGAGCCTCCAAGCTCGAGAACAATGAAATATTTAATACATGGTCAATTTATGTGCACGGGCATACAAAAAGCAATAAGAAGAAGAGTTCAAGGCCTCCAAAGACTACATGAAGGGCCACACCCAAAGAAAATGAGGAGAGTTCAAATACATTCCCAATATGTTGTTCCAGAAATGGCTAGCCAAGCTATAAGATGAGGGTGTTGCCTCGTTTCCAAGGAATAAATTTGATTTAAGGGTTAGTTGTTTAAATCATGTGATAATTGTTAGTAATTGCTTTTTTATGTTGATTTATTTATTTTTTTTATCTTTTTGGTTTTTGAAGGGAGCTCACTTTAGAATAAAGATAAATCCAATCACTAACTCTGCTCCTCACTCATGATGTAAACTTTGAGAACATCAAATTTTTCTTTACATGCTTATGTGTAGTTAGATTACTATGAACTTGTATACCAAGGATATTACAACTCTATTTTTTTATGTTTTAAGTTGATGATTAAAGATTTAGGTTTCATTACTTTGTTAAATCTTGTTTGTCACTCTTTGGAAGCCAATGGCCTTTAATGATTGGTAACCTGGTGATAGAAAAATATATAGACTCAAAGTCTCTGTCTCAATGCATTATCAAATGGAGAACCTAAGTACGAGTGAACATTTTGCTGAAAATACTGAGTCCAATTGTCATATCTAAAGGCATTTCAACCTTCCAGATGCTTTAAAAAAAAAAACCTTTTAGATGCTTTAAAAAAAAAACCTTCCAGATGCTTTTGAGCAAAATCTCCAAGCTATAAGACATTGTTTCTAAGAAAATGCCTTGTATGGTAAGCTCCACAAGGCTAAGCCTTTGAACATAGCTCCCTTTAAGAAGTAAGAAGCAGCCTTTCCAATGGCTGAAAAGGGATAGAGTGGTAGTCCAAAACTTCATTCCAAAAAAAGGAAAAAAACCACCTCTCAAGATGGGGATTGGGGAGGGATACAAGTTTCATTGATTTGCTAAATGTTATTCATCACCCCCTGAAACCACAAGCCTTCAACGGCTAGCTGCTATTCTCAATTCCCAGGTGTGATAATAGTTTCTTGTTCCCACATCCCATGTGTGATTAAAATTTTCTATTTTTATGATTAGCTTAAAGATAAATTTGTTTTATTTTTAAATTTAAAATTTTCTCTCAGCTCTTCAACACCAGAATACTTCTCTGTCACAGTATTTCTTGGACAATTACGAATAGGCTAAAACAACTCTGACATGTTCCTGACACTCTTAAGAAATGAATAATCTTTAACATTATTTTACAAGAAAATTTGAAAGTACCCTAATCAGCACCCATTCCTGGATTGTCTTGACTCACCATGAAACATGATAACAATATGAATATTCTTAGAAAATAATCTGATTGTTATTTGCTCGACTGACTGATTTTCTATCACATAAAGCCCTAATAGCAAGGTAATATTTAGAAATAAGTATTCCCTTGCTCATGTGGCAACGTCTAGCAACCTTAACTATACAATCTTTAGTGGATACTAAGAACATTATACTTCATATTGATTAGAAACTATGATCTTAAACTCAAGTCCATTTGACATCAATCATCCAACAAAGCATGCCCTATCATTTTACAAACAAAAAGAGCAGGACTCGCAATACCAAAAAATACCACACTTATGAATAGCATCTGGGAATGCTCAAAAACCAACAAGATCAAATTTTGTCTTGTTAAGAAAACTGATATCCAGCCATGAGCAAGCATTTTACTAATGCACTGTTTAACTTGAAGGAAGAACAGCAATCTGACCTCACAAATCTCTCGTCCCGGTGATTCATAATTTCAAATGTGGTATCTGGGTGTAGATAAAAAACCTTCAAGTCTTCAAATTAGTTCAGAAAGGTTCTGTCGGCATATCAATATCATGACAATTTCACCATACTAAGCCCAAGGAGAACTTCTTAATGCTTCCCTTTCATCGAGCCTATGTGAACAAATACAGAAATTCAGTAGCAGACAGAAAATGTTAAACAAATTGACAGAAAGGAGAAAAAAAAAGCTTCCTCATGACAGATCATCAATGATTAGCAGGAAAATGAGCTGATCAGGAAAAGCAATTAAGAAGAAGTATTAGAAACAAAAAGTAACCAAAATAAAGAAACCCATTTCTTTGAATTCAAGCTTTTGAACTGATAGAATGGCAGAGTTCTGAAAAGTATAAGTCAAGTCAAACATAATTCCCAAAGAACCAGAATCAGTCTTAAACATGTGACTAAACCAATTAAATCATTAATGATTTAAAATGAAAAAGGAGCGAAAGTGCAGGCATGGAAAGAATTTTAGACATTGAAAATAACAAATTTTCTTTCTAAAAATTCATGCCCATTGTGTAAGCAATCTGTTCTCTCTTAAATAAGAATCACGCATCCCTATTTCAATTACCATGTTATTAAGATGAAATAACTTGGAGAACAACATATACCTAACTTAAATTGTTCGTAAAATAATTCCAGGAGAATTGAAATAGCCACCAAATGATTCTAGAAGAATAGAAATCAATAGCCACCAAATGATTCTAGAAAACTCATCTGCATCGTAAAAAACTTTATGAAAAGGAATAAATTAGAAGGCCAAGCGTATACAATTCTCATGCTTTATTCAGCTAAATTGCAGGTAGAGGATTTAACATGATCAATTTTCATCGCTCATAATGAACCCCTGTAATCAGCTAGATTGCATGGTAGATTTAGCATGATTGATTTTTCATTGTTCATATCCTTTTTATTATATTTTTCTTATTATAACTTGGACTAGACAATCACTCCTATTCCATGAATCTACAACATAAGCAGTGGAGTCATTAACCACAGATAGGACGGTACTTCCGAAGCAAAAAAAGAAAGAAATATATGCCTCAACTATCTTCTCAAATAACCTCATGTTTACATAAGCAATATCAAACAAACTCAAAGAGGTTAGGCAAGCCAATTATGACGATGGAAAAAGTCAATCTCTATTAACAATATCTAATTCTCTTGAACATGGATAACACAAAGAAAACTCGAACAAATGTTTCTTAAAATCAACTTGATTCTGAAGCTCACTTTGCATTCTCTAAAATCTAAATCACATGTGAGATCTCTTACCTAAAATCAAACCAAGCAATGTGTTTAAGTCAATTATTCTTGTTTCAGGACCACTAAACGTCAATCATAAATAGTAGATCAAGCAAGAAAACAACATACAAAACAAAGGATTATTTTTCCATTATGATTAAGTCAATTTTTGTAATTGCAGAATCCATGCCATATGTCTCCAACATACAAATAACCTTGTATCAGACAAGTCTCAAAGCAATGCTTTCCGAATAGCTATGTTGCACGGATACTCCTATTTACGAGGCGTGCTGTATCGGACACGTGTCGGATACGGATACGCCTCTGATACGGCACGGATACGTGTCGGATACGGCTTTGCCATGTCCAATTAAAATATTATTTAAATTTGACTGGACGCGTATCTGATACTCGTGTCCTTTTAAAAAAACGAATAGTGAAGGCGAGCATAGAAGCAAACAGGATCATCCTTTGTTATAGTTGAAGGAGCGGCTCGATGACGCGAGCATAGAAGCAAACAGGATCATCCTTTGTCGACAAAGAGGCTTGACGACGCAAGCATTAAAGTCGATAGGATCATCCTTCGTCGACGAAGCGGCTCGACAATGCGAACAGTGAAGGCGACGTGAGCAGTGAAGGTTTGTTTTCTTCGTTCTTTGTTTTCTTAATCATAGGCTCGGTGTCGAAACTCGGATCTCGGTACCGCTCGATACTGAACGATACTGGAACTCAGTATTGCTCGGTACTGCTCGATACCGAGCGGTACTGGAACTCAGTACCGCTCGGTATTGGATCTCGGTACCGCTCGGTATTAGATCTCGGTACCGCTCAGTATTGGAACTTAGTACCGCTCAGTATTGGAACTCAGTACCGCTCGGTACTGTAACTCGGTATTGCTCGGTACTACTCGGTATCGAGCGGTACTGGAACTCAGTACTGCTCAGTATTGGAACTCAGTATTGCTCGGTACCGCTCGGTATTGCTCGGTATAGAGGGGTACCGAATGGTACCAAGCGGCACCGAGAAGCTAAAACATGCTCGGTACTGCTTGGTATCTTTCCAAAAAAATAACTTTAAAAATAAACAGCACTTCAAAATTACTCTTATAAAAAAAATTTGTTCTGAGGGAGCTGCCCCCTAAAACCCTCGCAGGGGCGCTGCCCCTTGACCCTGCGACCAGACCGGGCAGGTCGAACCCCTCTAGGGGGAAGCGCCCCCTTGGACCCCCGGCAGAGTCGCAACATATCTACACTTTCACTTAAATTTTTTCATGTTTCAAATTCATGTTTTAATTTGTATAGATCCTTTGTAGGTTAATGAGCTCTATTGGAGTAGAATTGGTTCAAATGATGGTACAGCAGAAATCAATATTGAAGATAACAAACCTCTATGGGGTTATGTTACAAAAATAGGTAAAACATCAGAAGGGGGAGGCAATATTGCATTCAAATGTAATTTTTGTAATGCAATGTAGGAATGCATCGGGCATGTTATGTGATAGAAATGTACCCCTCAAACTTAAGAGAAAATTCTATAAGATGGTAGTGAGGCCTGCAATGCTTTATGGTGCTGAATGTTGGCCATTAAAAGAGAAGCATAATACTAAGTTAAGTGTGGCAGAGATGAGGATGCTTAGGTGGATGAGTGGCTTTACCCTTAGAGATAGGATACGAAATGAGCATATACGTGAAAAGGTTGGAGTAGCTCCAGTAGAAGAAAAGATTAGAGAGAGTCGCCTTAGATGGTTTGGTCACATAAAAAGGCGGCCTTCCGATGACCCGGTTAGGAGAGTAGAGGTATTAGATTTGACTTGTGTTAAGAAAGGTAGGGGTAGACCTAAAAAGATTTGGTTAGAAAATATTAGGAATGACCTTTCTTTATTAGATTTAAACGAGAATTTGACTTTTAATAGGACACAATGGAGAAAAAGGATTCATGTAGCCGGCCCCACGTAGTGGGATAAAGGCTTGATGTTGTTGTTGTTGTTGAACATACAAATGATCATATTATAGAGTGAAAACTCATTTATTAAAGATTAGTGGTCATATAATCAAAGTTTTCCCGAAGATAAGCTCATCACAAATGGTTGAATTACAAAGGAAAATCAATGAATCTGAGCAAAGGAGTAAAAAAGAGCTTCCAAAACATATTCCACTTCCAAGCACTCATGCTTCATATCCTTCATCATCTTCTTTAATTAGATGTGATGATAGTACTGTAAACAAAGGGCCTTTTCAAATGGAGGGATTTGAACCAAAAAGAAAAAAACCTGTTGTAGATAGTGCTTTGGAGAAAACATTTAATTTACAAATGAGAGAACAACTGGACGGAGAAATAGCTAGAATGTTTTACTCAGTTGGACTTCCTTTTAACCTAGCAAGGAATCCACATTACAAGAATGCCTTTACATATGCATGCAATAACAATCTTGCAGCATACGTGCCACCAGGATATAATATCATTAGAACAAAGTTGTTACAAAGAGAGATGGATAATATTGAGAAGTTGCTCGAGCCTACTAGAGGAGTTTGGAAGGAAAAATGAGTTACTTTGGTTTGTGATGGGTGGACAGATCCACAAAGAAGACCACTTATCAACTTCATGGCTATAACAGAGAGTTATCCTATGTTTATCAAAGCTTTATCGACGAATAGTAATGCAAATTTTATGCTGTGAAAAATACATTGAAAAAAAAAACCCTAATAATAATCTAGAGGAACAAACATTTTAGTCAATAACTTGCTAAAAAATTAAAAAAATTATGTAAGAAAATTATGAATTAGAAACTCTACAGTGTTTTATGTGGTTCTGGTAAGAGCTAATAATTAAATCCTTTGACCACAAAATGCTAAAAAATCAAAAATAGGGATGGTATCGAATTAAGTTCCATCGAGCAGGGAACAACTTAAAATTGGAAGTTTTAGTTCCAATTTCAGCTGATTTCAGGTCAAGTAAAAAATATTTGATTTTGGTTCAATTTTCAAGTTGAGTCAAACAAAACCTCTTTATTTAGTACTAATATATATATATATATATACGTACTTGTACTTTTTTAAAGATTATATATAACATTTATGTATGAAATATGAATATATTTGTATATTGTTTGCTAATAGCAAATATATGAATGTGTAGATAGAAGTGAAGATACAAACATAATATGTATATTACATGAATTGAATCGATTTTGAGTTGAATCAAATTAATTTTGAAGGGGACATCTAAGGTCAAAGCAAATCAATTTTAATTTAGAGTCAATTAAAAGTTGAATGAGTTCTCACAAGATTGCCAACCCAAATCTAAATATGCAACAAATTGTTATTAATGATTTCAATTGTTGCAAACTATGTATATCCCTTGTAAAGTAAGTCATTAGAAGTAAGCATGTAACTTGAGCTACCATATTGTGCCCAACCAAGCAACCAATAGATTTATTTGGTCATAAAAGATTTTGCCTCCCGGAAAAGCCTCTGCCATTCAAATCATAAAGAAACGAATTAGAAGATCATTTTTTTTTTTTTTAAGTATGGAAACTCCTAAAGAATCCATTAACTTCTTAAGTTTTTAGCCCAAATCTTGAAAAAAAAAAAATCTTTTAAGTCAAGAATGTCTAAAATAAATAAAAAATCACCTTAAGGTCCAACTTAAGGTATTAGTGGAGGGAACTTTACTCATTCAAAAAGGTGGATGTGGAGATACCAATATAGTGATGCCAATCAAGTCCCGTTGCCTTTCAAAGTCACGTTGGTAGCACATTATTCAATATGTCACTTAATTATTATAGGATCATTGACAGACCTTCATGACTAAAAGATGGATGAAACATCTTTCAAGTCATAAAGAGTATGAGCATTTCCAATGATTTATGTAATATTCACTCCAAGTTATTTATGCATAGACACATCATCTTCAAAATTCTTAAAACAGATGAAGGGTATACATCTCGAGTGATTAAATAGCTAAGATTATTCTACAGAAAACCCAAACAAGACTTGAACCCATCTTTCAAGCCAAGTTGATTAACTCGCAAGGAATTATAGCAACCAAGAAGGAGGTAGTTTCCTTCATTCAATAGTAAAGCCCCCTTAATAGTGGATGAAGTAAACAAAGCCAATACCTTAGGGGTTGGCAATCATCACTAGTTCTTTAATGTTAAATGATATGTCATGAGGCATACCTCTCTATTATGGAATTACAAAGCACAACAATGAGCCAAGGTTATGGTCACACTCCTTGAGTTTCAAAAGGTCTAAAGGGTTAAAGAATCACGATCTCATTCTTATATTAAAATGAGGAGATGTGGCATCATTCCATGATTTAGGGCTAGTCTGTCATTGAGAAACCATTAGATCTTAAGGATGAGATTGGATGTGCATATAAGCACAAGGATACCAACATCTCAGTATAGCAATCACTACAATTTTTGCTTGGAACTCCGAGCGATAGCAACTACGTATGGGTCGACAAGGTTGTCAAGAGGGACAACAATGTTTGTCCAATGATGGAGGTGAACTTTACAATTACCACCATTACTACGTACATGCAATTGCAATCTTGTCGCACTGGCTCAGTGGATTAAATCATTCTCATCTATCACCAAAGATGGGTGTTTTAATGGAGGTTCCAAGAAACTTGAGCATAAAATAATTATCTCCCTTTTAATTTGCCTCAACAAAATTTGGGTAAAGACTGTTCTAGTAGAATCAAAGAGATAATATCAAATTATGGGCAAGTCAGTCAAGTCTGACTGAACCCAATACATCTAGTAAGGCACAACAAAGGTATTTTCAACATTTTGAGATGTTATTAGGCTTCTTTGTTGACACAACAGGGATTCTTTTAAAAATTATCAAACTTAACAAATTAAATACTAAAGTCCAACTCATTTTTCTTGTCAACCATGCAACATCTTTAGTTCAACATAAATCTTTCTTTTGATTTTTTTAAAAATTTGTGAAGCCTATTTATTAGAGCTAATAATATTTAGGCTGAAACATTTAGGTTCACCACCAAATCAATAAGAATCATTCACAAATAGCATACTAATCAAAATTAATTATTAGAGCTAACTACGCCTTTCTTACCCATGTAAAGCACTGGATTTTGTGTTCTCATTGTTTTCTCCTTACAAGGGCCGGCCTAATTGAATATTATCACGTATCCTACTTTGAAAAATATGGCCTAATACAGTTGCAAGAACTTTTGTAAATCTAAGAAGGTATTTGGTCTGATCTATTGAAAAAAAGATTTTAGTAATATCCACATTTATTATCCTTTCAAACTCCTATATATATACTGATTTCACAAGATTTACAAAGCATGGCAAAAAAATAAACCTGAGGATTCTAAATGCAGCAATGTTTGGTCTAATGTAAGTGCAGCAATTTTACCTCAAGCAAAATAGTCAAAATGCTATCACACAGAATTTTATTGGTTTGCACATTTGCATAAGCAAGTCGCCACATTTCTATCTCCCAATACTTTAAACTCATTTCTATCAAAATAAAACATCCAGCATTTCAATTTAGCCACATTGCTTTTTATTTTACCCAGTTTTCCTCCAACAAAACAGCACCTTAAGTTTCTCATAAAAGAATAAAACGTAGGCATTTACATTCAGAAATTTAACCATTTGCTTCATGGAAATCCACAACCAACATCAAATCAACCAAGAACCACCACAAAACCACGCATTTATGTAGTATCAACTGGTACAAATGGGAAAAAAAGACTGTACGGCCAGTGCATAAGACTCCTACCAATGTGGGACCTAACAAGAGGTTGATTTATGCAGTCTTACCTTAGAATTTTGAGAGGATGTTTCCATATTATTAATTGTTGCATCGATGTCGCTTTTGCTTCATAAACATTCTTTATTTGAACCCTCTAAGGTCGAAAATAGAGATGTTCATAAACTTATCTTAATCGCAAACATCAGAATATCGCAAACATCAGAATATCGCAAACATCAGAATCAATGTAATAGCCTAAAGGTCAGAAGGTGTTATATTCTATACAATCCCAAACAGCTTAAACTACTGATCATATCAAAAACATAGCTTAGGTAGCATGAAGTTAACGGATTGCTTAGAAAGAAACTGGCCAAACTGGTTTTCACAGCATAAAAGGATCTGAGAATAAGAAAAAGCATAAACAATAGGAGATTACTAGATTAGGAGTTTGTCTACTTCAATTCCAATGAAGTGCCAATCAATTACATGACTTGCTACTATTGTAGGCTTCCTCTATAGCTCAACATCACATCTACAGCAGACTACATATTTTGATTAGTTAAACCAATATTTTACGGAAAATATCAGTTGAATAAAAGAAGAACTACAAAAGAGGATCATATTCCATGGTCTCCTCCACTTGTTCTCGTAATACTTATGAAACAGAAACATACCAAATGTTGGGTTACTAATTATAGCAAATAGGATAAATAACAAAAAAAGCTTGGAAACTTACAACAACACAAAAAACACTGCATATTCAGCACGGATTGAAACATCCGCTGCATAGAATCAAGAGACAAAACAGAACTCGGAGATCGGATCATCACAGGCAGAGCTTACTAACCTTCAAAACCTAAAAGACGAAGGTATCCATCGATTTGAAAACGGAGGATTGAGGGGGCTCCGCTGCCTTTGTTCTGATTATATTTTATTAAATTATCGAGAAGAAGGAGATGAGAGACAGAAACTTCTTGGTTGTTTCCACGAGAGTAAAGCTGGAGTCACGGTACTTAAAGATGTGGAAAGCCCACGCGAGGGACTTAAAAACTGGTCAATGCCCGGCGCTCTGAAGGAGGAGAAAAGAATCGTACCCGAAATGAGTTGAGAAGTTTTTTTTTTTTCTTTTCTTTTTAGAAGGTAAATGTGTCCGGTCGGAACAATTTTGTTAATTATTGTCATTTTTTTCTAGCAAATCAAGTCAATTTTATATACATATTATATATTTAAATTTTATGATTAATAGTCAGAATTTCTCAACCACCTGATCAATGTGGATTCTTGTCACTAGAATTCGATTTCGAGATGTTCTTGTTTTTGTGCATTTTGAGGCTATTCATTGGCTACTGTCTTTTTCGCTATTCTAACTTATTCTCTTGATGTTGATTTGCTTTTTTTAGCTTGGCTATTTTTAACAGCTCAGCATTTTAATAGTTCATATTACATGAATTATCTTCTTATAGTTAATGAATTTAGGCAATACCCTTAATAGGCTTAATTTTCCCAAAAAAGGACAAACTTTTTTATTTTCATTTAAATTTGATAAAAATAAAGTTTATTTTGCAAAAAATATATATTTTAAAATAAATGCATTATAAAATTCATCAATTAATATTTCATCATAATTAATTTAAAATGAATTTTAATGAGTGTGAAATTTATTATAATTAGATTTAAGCCAAAATATTCATTAAGAAAATGTTTAGTCACATATTTTTTAATATTAGGGTATTCAAATAAAGCCCAAAATATTTTTTCTTGAGACTACCCTCAAATAAGTACATATGTTGTTTTATGATGTACATTCACGCTAGTCATTGTCTTTCAAAGGGATACTAAAGTAATGATATATTAGGCATGAAAATTAAAATATGTTATTATTATGAGAACTTCAAATTAGATGTTGTGTATCAACTTTTAAAAAAGGTTAATAATGATATAAATTTTTACATCCATTATATATATAGAACTTATTTAACATAATGATAGTAATAAATAATATAATTTATTGGAATAAAACAAATAAATTACTATATGATTTTGACAAATGTCAAATAAAGAAAATTATATGCTAAAATTAAGATTATACAAATTAGTGAATCAAGTATGATATCATATCATAGAATATCATTTCATATCATATTATATCATATCACATCATATCATTTCGTATAATACCATATCATGTTATATCATGTGTAACAGTCAAATGACATCATATACAGGAGCTGTCACTCCAATCATACTTATATCAGGACCTCTTATGCCTCCCATCATAGGAGCTATCACTCCAATCATACTTATATCAGGTCTTCTTATGCCTCCCATCATATCATTTATTAGGTTTACACCACTTATCTCATATTTAAAAGAAAGCATGTCAACACACCCTTTTACTTAAGATATCTGTATGTACCAACTTGAATCATATAGTAGCCAACTTTCCTTTCTCACACATATTTCATAACATGTGCATATATACATCCTGGTAATATTTAATATTTTATTCAAGATTCATTTCATTATATCAATTCTTCATGCATGTGAATAGCATGTAAGTCATAATAAAAGAGATTCATATGATAATGCAATATGCTTGTTTTCACATATTTATAAACTTAATATATGAAATATAGTAGGTGTGCATGTTGTAATAAAACGAATCGACTACACAAGTCATGCCAACTAAATCTTGTTAGATATGCATATCATTCATTCTATCTAAAATGAATACAATAATTAGTCATTATTTTCTTAATGCAACAACAGCAACAAGCCTTTATCCCACTATGTGGGGTCGGCTCCATGAATCTTTTTTCTCCATTGTGTCATGTTAAGAGTCAAATTCTCATCTAAATCTAATAAATAAAGGTCATTTCTAATATTTTCTAACCAAGCCTTTTTAGGTCTACCTCTACCTTTATTACCATAAGTCAAATATAATAAATATGCTTTCCTAACCGGTTCATGAGAAGTCCGCCATATTATGTGATCAAGCCATCTAAGGTGACTCACTCTAATCTTATATTCCACTAGAACTACTCCAACTTTTTCACGTATATGCTCATTTCATAACCTATCTCTAAGAGTAAAGCCATTCATCCACCTAAGCATCCTCATCTCTGTAGAACTTAACTTAATACTGTGCTTCTCCTTTAATGGCCAACATTATGCACCATAAAGCATTGTAGGTCTCACTACCATCTTATAGAATTTTTCCTTAAGTTTGAGAGAGGATTTTCTATCACACACAAGCCTGATGTATTCCTCCACTACAACCATCCAATTTGAATTCTTCTAAAAATATCCTCATCTATTTCATCATCACTCTAAATAATAAATCCAAAATATCAAAAATATGTACTCTTATTAATGACTTGATAGCCCAAAGTCATAATCCTTATTAATGACTTAATAGACCAAAGTCATAATCCTCACACTAGATCTATTATTACTAAAATTATACTCCATATATTCAATTCTAGACCTACTCAAACAAAATCCCTTAGACTCTAAGGTCGAACTCTATAATTCAAATTTACCTACAACTCCTTATCTAATATTATCAATAAGAAGAATATCATCATCATTTTCTTAATATACTTATCTTAATTGAATTTGGGAAATATGCCTTAGTTTATAAAATGCCTAGTAAAAAAATTAATATGATTATGTCAATAGGTGCAGAATGAGCAAATCTACAACATAGTAAAAGTTATAAGGTCAAAGTTATTAGAAATCAAGATATCATATTTTTTTGCAAATTAAAATTAAAAAATCACATAGAATCCAAAACCATCAAAAATAGAGGTAGGGTAATGATAACCTACCTTGAGAAAAAAATAATTTTCTTAACTGATCAAATAAATGAAATCAGCCTAAAGATCTGCATACCCTTCTTTACTCTTGTTCTTCTCTTCTTTTCTTCCCCTCCTCATCTTTATTTTCTCAGCCAAATGAGGGGATATGAAATAACTTTTGGGTTTTATAGATTTTTATAATGGATTTAGACATTTTTTCTTACAATTTGAACTAGTGTCGTGGCACTACTTTTCTCAACACTATAATGTATGTAACAAGTTGGTGAGAGAGAGTCTAAACGTTTTCTAGAGAGATAAATTTAAATTTTCTTTGACCTATTTTTTCGTGGGAGCTCTGATATGGTGGATGATGGCCATGGAATTCGTTGACTGTTATTTCTTCCACTATTCTTCAATATTCTACAAAGAATATTGTTTCCTCCTTCCGAAATTGTGATTTCAAGAATAATATTTCATTACCTGATGAAAGGATTAGGAGAATTGACATAAAAAATCCACTTCTAGTTATTAAAGAAGGGTTTAAGCCAGATACTCATACTGCTCCAGTTGAAGGAAAAGGAAAGAATACCATAGAAGAATAAAAGATTTTGATGGTTAATCCTATGATTAACTCAAGCAGTAACTTTCATGGATCAAAGGCGAATGATTTTGAAGCATTTTCATCAGGTTTGAGACTAAAAGTTAGTAGATTTATGGTAGTAATTCTTCAAATGCTAAACATAAAACAAAACAAAAAATCTAAAAACACACACACAAAAACAAAACATTAACAATCAAAAATAGTAAAAACACATAGAAACATATCAAGTTTGTAGAGAATTTTGTTTAAGCATTAAGATCAATCACACCTAGCCTTGTTTTTAATGTGCTAAAAGTATCAAAGGCTAGTAGTTTTGTAAAAATATCTGCAAGTTAATTTTCAGTAGAAATATGATTCAATTCAATTTCTCCTTTGGATACATAATCCCTCATAAAATGATGTCTTATGTCTATATGTTTGGTTCTAGAATGTTGAATAGAATTTTTTGAAATATAAATGGCACTAGTGTTATCACAATAAATTGAAATTGTGCCTATTATAAATCCTAAATCAATCAACTGTTGTTTCAACAAAATAACTTGTGCCACATAACTTCCTAAGACAAGATATTCAGCTTCAGTAGTAGATAGAGCTACAAAATTCTATTTTTTACTGGACTAAAAAACTAAAGAATTTCCTATAAAATGGCAAGTTTTAGATGTACTCTTTCGATCAACCCTATAACCTTCAAAGTCTGAATATGAATATCCAATAATTTCAAATGAAGAGCTAAACTTAGGATACCAAATCCCTAAGTTTTGAGTTTCCAAAAGATATCTTAAAATCCTTTTTACTATTGTCAAATGCGATTCTTTTGGATCTTATTAAATCTAGCACACAAACAAACATTAAACATAATATCAGATCTACTAGCTGTCAAATAAATCAAAGATCTAATAATTCCTCTAAATTTATTTTGATCAATAGATTTTTCCTTTGGGTCATTATCCTATTGAACTGAGGAACTCATAGGTATACTAACTAGTTTAGTATTATCCATTTCATACTTCTTGATGATGTCCTTAATATACTTTGATTGACTAAGAAATGTACCTTCCTCAATTTGTTTAATGCTAAAATATAGAAAGTAACTAAGATCTCCCATTAGGCTCATCTCAAATTCACTACTCATTATTTTAGAAAAGTTATTACAAAGTTTTTTATTTGAAGATCCAAAAATGATATCATCAACATAAATTTGAACAATAAGTATATCATCTCCCAATTTTTGAAATTACTAGATTACCAAGAGGGGGGGGGGTGAATTGCAAAAATTTGTTGCAATAATTAAAATCTTAAGCAAGAGTTAAATATTTTTTGTGTTTTTTAATTTTTAACAAGAAAATTTTATCTAACGCGGAAGCAATTATTTGAAAATAATTTGCAACAATAAATTATTTTTCTTTCACAATTATCAACAAGCAAATATAATGAAAATAAAGTACAAGCAAAAATAAAAAGCAATAAGGAAAAAGCACACCAAAATTTTAAAGTGGTTCGGTCAAACCATGACCTACGTCCACTCCCCGGAGCCTCCACTCCAGGAATTTCACTATAAAACTATAGTTCTCCTTTTGCCCCCTCAGCAAGGTGGAGAAACCCTTACAAGACTCAATTTCACCAACCCAGCATGGCGGAGTGCCAAGGGCTTTTCTCACCCTCATGGCGACGGCAGCTTACCTTCTCATTTTTCTCCTTCCTGGAGAAGGCAAGTACCT